CCATGGGAGTCACTGCAGGTTGGAGGTTCTCGCGGGAGTTTGAAGTATCTCGATAATTCAGAAAAGAAATTACTCAGAAAAACAAGTGAATGCAATACGCTTCCGTACAATACAAACAATACACATACAAAAACATCCTGCAGGTTATATTTTCTAAAAAAGAAAAAACTTAAAAAATAAATTTAAATGTATAAAAAAGGTTCAATGTGTAACATTTAGGAGAAATGGAATATAATACTCACAGGTATGTTTTGTACTTACTTATTTAGAGTATAATCACCTGAATATTGTGTTTTTCCCTGCGTTTCGTGCTCACTGTAGTTCCTCTTTTCCGAAGGGGAAGGTGAAGCGAGGGAGTTGCAATCTGCAACCACACCGCTAGATGCAACTAAATGTATAAAATATAATAAAAAGTAAATACTGGATGGTACCTGATATATAGAAAAAGTCTTTATTTAGATACATGTGCACCATGTTGTGTTATTTATTATTGTTTGTATTGTTATTTACACCAACCTGTGTAGTAAAATGGGCAAATTTCCACATTTGTGCACAATAAGGATTATTATTAGGACTCAACTTAGATTCTTAAAAAAAATGGGTCAGGATATTTAAATAAAGACTAAACTATTAATCGTTTATTAAAATAATTCATTTTTTTGTCGAATGTTCCTTTAATCAACCAGCTGCTGGAGCTCATGTTTGCCTGAATATCACAGGCCTGTTCAGCCGGCCAGCGACATGGAAAATATGAATTTGTGGTGAGCTATAAACAGTGAGAGCAGCCTACATGTTTTATAGCTTGTGCGAGAGTTAATTCCAAGCAGAGAGAGATATATTGTTGAGTGAACACAACGGGGCTCTTCAGGGAGCCTCATGTAAATCTCTCGGCTGATAAAAGAAGCACATAAACAACAACATTCCTCTACAACACAGCGACGGAGAGACAGACAGGCGGAGAGACAGACAGGCTGCTGCTGCTCATGTTAAAAGGCCAACACCCCCTAAAACAGTGTAAACAGAGGCTTCTTCTTTGGGACTGACAACACACAAAGCGGCTGATTCAGACCAGCTGCTAATTATGGAAGCTCGTTTCTGTCAATGTGACACAAAGAAAAAGAAAAAAAGATTCTGTAAGTCTTTATATTATACTTATATTTTACTTAAAAATAATTATTTTGAGACAATAAGTCAAAATATTCAGATACTAATTTAAAATGTTGAGTAACTTTATTATTTTGAGATACTAAGTCAATATTTTGAGAGGGTTTCTCATTATAATGACTTACACAATGTTTTTCCCCCGTAATATTGGCAGAAATGGGCTTCCATAGAATAATGCGTTGAAAATAATGACTTTGTGATATTAAGTCATTATTTTGTGACTATTTTGATAATATTTATCATTATAATGACTTGAACAATCTTTTTTCTCGTCATATTGGCAGTAATGGGCTTCCATAGAATAATGAGTTGAACTTCATCCAGAAACTCAGTGTTGAAGCAGCTCCAGCTGTGACTGAAAGATCCACCCACCTCAACCTGTTCCTCTTCCTCCCCCTCCTCCTCTTCCAGGTAGGGTGGAGCTGTTTCTACCTGCACTCACAAACACTCACACACACCGGAGGGATTCAATAATGGCGTTATAGTTGAGACTTTGGAGCGTTTTCGTCGACTTATATTCACAGTAAGTTCATATTTGACTGTTGACGGTCGAACTGAGTCTGCGCACTTCGTCAGACAAACGCCAATTAATGAGCTAACGTACTATGAAGAAAGCGACGTTTATCTCTGTTTTTAAACTACAAACCTGCTCCGACATTACGTTTATACATCATTCTTGTTAAGAAATGTGTCTTTTTGTTTTGTTTTTCATTAAAAACCGGTCTTTAATGCTGTTAATAACGCGATTTATGCTATTTTGACGTCTTTACCTGAAGCGAACGTCAACGGGTTTTCCTCGAGGACACTTACCTTGACGTAAAAAATACCTGTTTGTAGTTCCAGCTGTTGATTTGTAGTTTTCTTTGGCGGTAACTTTTACCGTTTCTGTGTCGTCCAAAGGTCGTTTTTTCTGAGTCCAAACTGTCGGTTTCGGTCGGTAGGTATGAGTCAGCCGCCCCGTTCAAACCGGGGCCACCGGGAGAGGAACGGAGACCACCGACACTACCGAGACTCACCGGAGGACCGACGGGCTTCACCTGACAGGTGAGTTCAATCAGCCGCCAAATGAATGTAGGGGAAATATATTTATAATTAATAATCTTTAATAGTTTTCTTTTAAATAGTTTAAATAAAACACTTTATACCTACATAACATAATAAATAATTGTTTATTCATTAATTAAAAACATGACAGTTTAGATAAGATACTACAGCAGCTCCAGATACAACACAATAGATAAGAAAATACACATGAAATAAATAAAGATATAATGGAAATAGAAAATAATAGAGTTAAAGAGTTATTCATAATGGAATTATATGTATATATGTGTGTAATAAGTGTTTACATGAACAGTAAATAGAGTCTTATAATACATAAATAGGGGTTATATCAATGTACAGTTTATATTAACCTACACACACTAATATAAAGTGTATTATGGTCACAGGTCACATTGTAGGAGTGTATCATAAAGTCATCATAACTTTTTTTTATTGCTTTTGGAGTAGATGAGTGACTTTTTAGTTTGTTTTAGTCCTCAGCACCTCCAGCATTGTTATAACACTCAAAATCCCACCAAGTGGCAAAAATGTCCCTGCGCTTTTGACCCTTTTGTTTTAAGAATATAATATTTTACAGGTTTAATTAACAAGTTCTACTAAAAGTGGAATTAGAGAACACAGGAGTTCAGTATTAGACCAGCAGCAGCTCATGTTGTTATATTCAGTATAGAACATAAACCAAAACAGAATAAAACATGTAAAGTGTTTAGTTCCACGTTATAATGAAACACCAGCTATATAAGTGTTAAATAACGTCCTCATTGTCATTATGTTTCTCTGTCCCAGGTCTTCCTCTCGACCCCCCTACTACCCCAGAGAGGCCGACTCCCCCCCCAGACACGTGCGGGAAACCCCTCGAGTGGAGCACCAGGAGTCCAAATGCTCCAACGTCTGCTCCAGGAGAGGTGAGTCGGCTCAGAGTGGAAGTATCTCTCACTGCGTCACTGTGGGGGGGGCGGACTTTGGTTTCAGTCTCACTTCTACGAACACCGGACAGACCGGTTTCACTGTGTTTACGGTGCACGCCTCTTCCCTCAGAGTAACACTGAGGGAGGAGGAAGCTGTTAACAACACAGTATTACAACAACGGTTTTAATTATTTATCAGGTTTTAGCTCCAGCTTCTCGAATGGATTCACTTTGTTCTGTTTTCAGTGTACATGTCATTTATTGGAGTTTAAAGATGAATTGTTTTCATTATTCGCAGTCCTGTGATAGAAAGGTTTAACAATCACTTCCAAAACTTGAAATTAGTATATATTTTTGCACTGGATTGATTCTGTATTGTTACTAAGACACTGAATGAACAGTTTCTTTCTCACGTGGAGACAATAAAAACAAACTGTGCCTTGACCTCCATCTGACTCCCCGCAGGCGTCGTCCTGATCTGCTCCGTCCTGACCAACGCTCTGGTCCTGATCTGCGTGATTGCGGCTCAGCTGGTGTCGTCGGGCATGTCGTCGGCGAGCGCCATGGGCGGCTTCGACATCAACTCCAACTTCAACCTGCAGGGCACCGAACTGGAGAAGGCTCGCAGGTTGGACAGCCAGTACAGCCAGATGAGGGCGCCGGGCATCTACGGTGGCATCCCCTTCAGCCTGACGCTCGGGGTCCTGTCGCTGCTGTTCGTGGTCGCCGGGAACAAACCGCCTCACCTGATGTCCCAGAAGCTCCTGTTGGGAGCGCTGGTGTTCCAGGCGGTGGGCGCGGTGGCGTACGTGGTGGCCGTGGGGCTCTACCTGCACTTCATCATCAAGGTCAACGCCACGGACGTGTGTCAGGAGCGGGAGCGGCTGTACGCGCGCTCCGGCTACACCTGGATGAACTGCGACGTGGGCGGGGCGGACGCGGGCGTGGCTCTGTTCGGGCTCATCACCGCCATCCTGTACGGCGCCGGCACGGTGCTCACCGTCCAGACCATCCGGAGGGTGAAGCTCTACCTGCAGGAGCGAAAACGCAGAGCGGAGGAGAAACAGCAGGCCCGAGGCCCGCAGAGAGCGCCACTGAGGGCCGAAACCACCGCTGTGTGAGGGGGGGGGCATCTGGGGCCTGTATCACCGAGGTTCCTGGGAACGACTGACGTTTACACCGATCAGGAAGCTCAGTGATCATTCCTACAGGAGCCTGACGTGGACAAAAGTAGTCAGTTTACAAGAATGTGACAGTAATAGAGACATTTTGCCCCTGAAAGGTCACAGCGCTTTCCAGTGCTTTGACCCACACGTGGATGTGTTGTAATCAATGATGTGTCAGTGACTCTGGATCATAAAACTACTCCCATATCTCTCCTGTGACCTCGTTAGCTGAGCGGGTCGGCGGAGGAGACGCAGTGTCAGCAGTTCATATTTTCAGCAACTTTTACAACAACATTTATGGAAATAAAAGTAGTGGCAGTAGGTAACTTTTATAAAGATTCCCTTTTGTTTCCACTATATCTGAACAAAAACAAGTCGATTGTCTCGTTCTCTGGCTTCGAGCTTTGTGCTGCAGCTCATATCGAACTCTGGTGTATAAATAATGGAAACTGCAGTTTCTGTGTCTGGCTTTATGACGCTTTACTCTGCTGTTGTTAATACACGAGAGTCTGTGAAATGAAAGGGAATACCAGCAGCATTAAAGCTCTTATGGTGGCCCAGTCTGTGCCACCATATAAAAACCAATCCCAGCTCAACCCACAGGCTGCTTTCATACAGCTCCACCTCTCTCTGGATCAGGGGGAAGTGTTGCGAGGGAACATAAAAGTAGTTTATTATTATTATTATTATGTCAGATAGAAGAACCATTGTTTTGCACAACCACGTTTCCAGCCTGGGGTTAAAAGAGACTTGTAGAAAAAAAAAGCTGCCTTTAACTTTCTTGTATTCCTGACAGTGTTGATCATTGTACTCTGTTAAAGGTCCAGTATGTGACGCTGAGGAGGAGCTGAGGAGGAGCAGAGGAGGAGCTGTGGGCAGAAATGGATAATATTCGTAGGTGTGTTTTCATTTGTTACCTGAGAATGAGACGATTTTATCTACAGGTCCTCTTCTGGCGGAGACCTCCTCGCTTCACCCTCCCCTTCTGAGCGCAAAGGAGAAACTACGGTGGCCTCGAAACATGCGAAAAACACAAACCTTATCTAGAATCACAGTTTAGTTTAGTTTGTCCCTTCTGGGCTACTGTAGAAACTGGACCTGCTCCCTCTGTAGATAAAAACGTCTCATTTTGAGGTAACAAAAGCAGTTTTAAGGTATATTTCAGTAATGATGAAAAGATTATGTTCCATTTCTGCCACTAAGTGTGACACACTGGACCTTTAATTACTTTAATTATTAATTCTAAAACGTTCAGCAGCAATAACAGCCGCTCTGTATGTTCCTTCTTTGAGTGTATCACATGTTAGTTAGACTTCACCGGGTTAAACAGAAGTTATTGCTGCCTGTGGCGGTAAATACTCCGCTCATGCAGGTTGTTGAATCAGTAAACTGAACCAGTTAATAACCAGTTAATAACCAGTTAATGAGTAACTTGCTTTGTGATACAGGTCTGAACTGTTTGTATGTTGCATTTGTGTGTTTTTAACTGTGTACTAGTTTTAATGAATGTATTTGTATATCAGTTTGTCTTTATAATGTCATTTTGGTACTGAATCTGTCCACTTTTAATTAAACCTCCAGCAATGTGATTCTATCCAAGACTGTTTGTGTTTCTGATCACACGTCTGATTAACAAACCAGCCTGTAGGAGGCAGCAGAACTCCAGAGGCTTCCTGCCAGCCATGACATCACTGCTGCCCGTCCCCTCTCTGCTGTCACACAATGGGGGCCACACATACACCGAGGGGCCGCAGCAGTGATGTAACTGTGGGACTGTTTTGGTGAAGATTTAATTAGCAACAAAAGAAATTCTCCAGAGTGAGGCGATTACCCCGAGTTCTGATTTTACCCTGTCCGATAAACACAATGCAGCGATTGTGAGCCAGCAGCACAAACGAGTGCGAGGTCGTTGCTCTGTTGCTGTGCAGCTCTTTATACATTTCGTCTTTTTAAAACCTTTAAAAGATGCATTTTAGCAGCACTAGAGATTTAGTTTCAGTGTTGGCGACGAGTTTTAAGATGTTTTCTGCTGCCAACCCTCTACAGTAAATGAGTGAATGAAATAGAGCTTCAACTAACAATTACTTTCATTATTAATTCATCTTGAGCTGAAAACATTCTCTTGTCACAGCTTTTTAATTCTTATTATTGGTGTTTTTCTTTGTTGTATGTGATATAAAAAAGACTGAGGTTTTTGAAAGTTTGGTCCGACACAAAAAGCTATCTGAAGGCATCAACTTGGACTTTAAAGGTCCAGTGTGTAACATTTAGGAGGATCTGTTGGCACAAATATAATATTCACAGGTATGTTTTCATCAGTGTATAATCACCTGAAAATAAAAATCGTTACCGTAGAATGAGACGTCTTTCGTACGTTTGCGTCCACCGTAGTTTCTCCGACACAAATATTTATTTCAAGCCCCAAACTAAATAGATGATTGTTTCTATTAATTGTTTTGTATATAAAATGTCACAAAAGTAAAAGAAAATCACAATTTCCTAAAACGTAAGGCGACGTTTCCAAATATTTATTGCCCAAAATACATAAAAAGATATAAAATGATACAAATATAGAGAGAGGCAGTAAATATTTAAATATTTGAGAAGCTGGGATCAGAAAGTTTACCTAAAAATAACTAAATAATAATTTTAAGTGGTTTCAGCTTGAGAACAGAATTTAATTTAAAGAGGCGTCGCCTTTTTGCTGCATTGTTTTTAGGAGACATGTTGTTCTTTATCAAATATAATGTTTCAGTGTCTGAAACCAAACCCCACTGACCTCCACTGAACTTATATCTCTAATTCTTATCACGTAAAACCAACATGGAAGTATCATCTTATAATATCACTTTATGTAACTTGCTGCTGTGATGATTAAAAACAGAGTCCAGAAGAAGAAGTCAGAGTCAACATGTTGATTATCTGAAAACTTTCATTTATTATATAGCAAAAGTAGGTCTCTTGTGCGATTCGCAGTTGTCAAGAAGTCTGTAACACTGTTCTGAGAACATTCACTGAGCTGGTAACAACTGTAGGACCCCCGACCCCCCCGTTCAGCATCAACTCACCACTGCAGCACCACTCTGAACTCTCCACACCGGGAATATCAGCCGTTTGAAATAATCGTCTTTTTCTCTCAGAGAATATTAGTACGTGTCACTGTGACTAGGTCACGTTTAAGTATTAAACTCCTAGGAGTTAGTTTAACAGTTTCACTAACTCCGACAACGGTAAGGCCATCAGCCGCGACACAACGGGGGGAATGTCTGCTACGACACGAAAAACTGAACCGTCCAAATCTCAAAGTACCATTTAACAGGATTCATCTCAAAGGTCCAATAAAAAGCACTCAAAGAGCTTTTTCACATTAAAGATATGGTACAAATCAGTGACGTGAAGACTGAATCAACATAAAGTGTTAGAAAAATTGCATCGTGTTTCGAGGGGCAAAGAGCGGACAGTAGAAAATAAAGTAAATAACAAAAACAAACGAGCATCAAGAGCGACAGTCCTGAAACTGTTAGAGGGGTGGTGGGGGGGGCAGGAGTTAGAGGGGTTGTTGGGGGGCAGCAGATAGAGG